TAAACCAGTCTTTACTTTTCATTATTAGCTTGTCAGTGAGCATTCCTGCCCCCCCCCCTTTTTCTTCAGCATCTTAATCCAGATTTCTAATTAATGTTCGGTATTAAAATTTACATTCAATCATATATTACTAAAGAGATTACCTTGAATCTTCTATCATTGGTTTCTTGTCTACACTAGCAACTAGCAACATGTGTAATACTTCAATATATTAGACGTTATGGGCCTGTTATAGTTTATGATGCTCATGCCCAACCAAGAAAGAAAACTATCCCAAAACAACGTCATATTTATAGGACTACATATCCGATATGAATATGGTTTAGCATTTTGGCAGAACTTTGAACCTGTGTATTATTATTATTATCGTTATTCAAAATTTAATAATTTCATAGTTATTGCATGAGGCTAGGTCTTCCCAAGAAGGTGGATATTGCACGCACATTGCATTAAAATATGTAGGTGAAGTTCACAATGCCCGCGACCGCCGTGCAAGAAGTCGGATCTATTTTAACGGATGCATGTTCCTGTCAACCAAAACAATATACGTTGAAATATAACTCTCTTGACTTTGGTTTTTCAAATCATATGTTGGTACATGGAATGCTATTCTTAACAATAAATTTCTTGAAGTAGTCATAAAGAAACTTTGCTGCGTATTGTATTTGATTCAACAGTGAAAAATGTTAGAATGACCTAGTCGGTATGCATTTACATTCTTGTGTGTAATTGAGCCTTTCAACAAGCTATAGTGCTTTATTGGGTTTTATTCACGCACGCCGAACACACGCACACTCACGCACTCAAAACACGCACATACACACAACTTTCAAGTGTACATTACTAAACAAGTTGTCATTAACCAATCAATAGAAAATTGATTTGCAAGCTCAAGCTAGGCTAGGCTAAACAAATTTTTTCACGTTAGTACAATGCAAAATGCAGGCTTATATTTTACATGTCTCTCAGAAATTGCGTGTTCATACCGACAGGCAAGTTGAATTTATGTTAAACAGAATAGGAAAGCCTTCCGATATTTCACAATCATGACGGGATGCACCGAAAATGCACGCATTCAATATCGAGTTAAAATACTGCTTGGACACAACCGGTCAGAAAATAAAATATATTGAGGTAACTTGTCCTTTTGCAAATGTAAAAAAGAAAATACAAAAACAAGAAAAACTGCGTTTGTACCTATATCATTTTTGAGATAATTGTACGTGTTTAAACAGGGAGTCGGGTCTTCCCCGTTTAATGTTTTAAAATTTACATTAGAGAGTTTAAAACGGAGAGAGATTAAAAAAGGCTTTTCAATCAAGCTTCCTACTCAATCGTAAATTTTATTTTATGTACTGTACCTTGTTATTATAAATAAATATTGGTTAAACTATACTTTAGGACAATGAAAACGCACGGTTGGGATAATTGCATTTTAACAAGGAAAAAAAATTTCTTTTAAATATATATATTATTTAACAGTTTCATAAAACCGAATGTATTTCGGTCATTTAGATACAAAAGTTATGGAAAATGATTGCATTTTAATGAAGTTATTGCATGACAAAGACAGTACCCAAAAATTAAAAGTAACACTTTTGGCTCATTGTGATAGGATCACAACAATTTCAATTTTTCAATTTCAATTTCATTTATTCACTCGGATCATACAAACATGACAACATGAGGTAATAATACAATTACATGTACATAATAAATGAGGCTTCAGAATCAGACAGTATCAAAATAACATGATATATAAATTGTTAACATAAATATTGCGGGAGAGTCAGCATTAAAACAAATACTTCAATAGGGTTCTCCACAGCATTAAATTTATACAATTTTTGGCTCATTTGAATCTTAATATAATTTCTTTAATAAATAGAAAACAGATTTAATCAAATCATGGTTACTTTGTAAAGTGAAATTATTTTTTTAAAAAAACTGTTAATTATAAACTTGTTTTTCACAATTTTCTAGAAATGTTAGACACAAATGAGCAGTTAAAATTTTTATGAAAATAAAATATTAAACTATGCCAATGGTCAGTTTAGAAATCGTAAAAGCTAACATTGAAATTGCATATAGACATGTTTCCTCAATTAAAGGTGCTTATTTTCAAACAATACTGAAGATTTGCTAGCAAATTGTATGCAATGGTTCTACAAAGAAGTAACCGCTGGGTACATTCAGGACAGATTCAGTCTGGTCTATCTTACAATCAAATTTTGTATTATCAAAGCGCCAACCGTTTTGGTGTCCATTGGTCTACATTTTCTCGGCACCACCAGCGTTTTCAAGCTACACTACATGCCGAATGGCGTCAGATTCCACAGGCGACTATCCGCAACTTAAGGTCTATGAGGCGACGATGTACATCTTTAAGAGACGCTGATGGAAGATATTGTCGTTTCTAAAGATCCCGACGGTGACATTAAGAATATACATTTATGAGTGACTTTGTTTTTGGATTTTCATTTTGTTTTTTGCCTTTGTTAAGTTTGCCTTACTGTGATTAAAAAGTGTGATTTTAGGATTTTCACCTAAAGATATTCGATTTACTTGTGTACGTTTGATTTTAAACATTTTGAATTATTTTCACTTGTTAAGTTTGCTTTTTGTATTGGAGTTATGATATATATCTAATGGAGTCATTAGTGTTTTGTCTTCTTGTAATAGAATGCATATAGTGCGGGCGTGCGTTTTCATTGTCCTTAAGTATAAAATGTACATGTGTACATAATAATTAAACAAATGTATTTATTTCAATGTAAGTAGTCAACAACAGAAAAAAAAATGGAAAAAGCAACATTTCCTTTTAACTAAATATTTTGGCCGGATATATATAAAATACACGTATACAATCAGGTTTTAATAATACACTCGTCTCTATAAATACGGCAATACAGATTTCCTATATTCTTACTTAGTAAATTTGACGCAAGCTAGCGAAAATAGATCATTCAGCTTATTATTGATCGAGTTTGCTCAAGTTAAAAAGGCTTTTACAAACTTTATTCTGCAGTTTTTAAAATAGATTCGAAATACCGGTATTCATAATCATAATATATATACAGAATGTCTTATCTGCGCATGTCACAGTAAAAATAACTATTATTGACAGATAATTGTAAAAACATCGTATCTCAAGAGTTTTTTGTGTAAAGATAGTGGTGTTTACTATACTGAAGTACGTCATTTCTAAAAATAACCATACAGATATATAGTAATAGACAAGTCGGGACTTGAAATAGCCTACTACAAGGTCGATACAGTATATATACACCTCGCGGTAGGCGTTTTCATTTATCAGTTGACAGTGTGCGTTATATCGACCTTCGTACATTATATCTGTATATTGGAAAAACTTGCAAGTAAGTGATTTTAGATCAAAGTTTAATCATAGTATACGTAATATAGCGGAATTAAACGTTTCTTTTGATAAATATGCACAGTTGCACAATAACATACATGTACTAATACATATATATAACACCTATGGTTATTTCTATGCATGCATCTACATAGATACCTGGGTCAAACAAAGTACATCTATTAATAGAACTAAAATTATATAAAGAAATGTAAATTCGTTCATTCTAGATATTTGCAGTAAATATTTGTTAAACGCGTTCCAATATAATATAATACAAAGCAGGGTTTTGAGTAACCTTGTATAAAGTCACAAAATTATAATGACTATTGGAAAAAATATTGATCTTTATACCTTAACTATACAACAAATCGATCATCTAATTAATTCTTTATTGCCATTCAGTATGCCGAAAAGAAAAGCCTCCTTTGCATTTCCATACGAACGCCCAAGTAAGATTACAAAGAGGACAAGCAGCACAACTGTGTCCAGGACATTAAGCAGTATCTCAAAGATGCCGTCTGTAGTTAAACCACCACTTAGAATGCCCAAATTTCCATCTCTTCGAGCAAGCAAGCCTGGAGAGGGTATTGAGGTTAGTATGATAATGGCTGGCTACGATTGAACATTGATTTCTTGTCATTTCCGTTTCTTTCTTTATTTTAATAAGAGTATATATATAACATGATTAAAGATTTCTATTAGGCTTTATTCGATTTCCACGCGGTTTTAACTTTTATTCATACTTTTTAATGTGTTTTTATTAAAATTGCTGGTCTGTTAATTTGCTAGGTGTCAGCATCAGCTCCTTTACCAACTGCTGGCGGATCTCCAACACCACCAGCTCTACGACGTGCCTCAACACTGACTCTAGAAGATGATGACAAAGTTGACTCTACTAAAGCTTCATTAACTAAAAGAAAGCCGTCTGCTTCTAAACCATCATCACTATCTAAGAAATCTAGCAGTTTTGTTGAGGAGGAAGCACTTGTAACAAAATTATCAGGACTTAAATCAGGGTCTATCGTTGGAGAAACATCTTTAGCGTCAACGTCATCATTAACAAAATCTCCAAGCAAGTCTAAATCATTGTCAAGGAAATCATCCAGCATAACTGGGAGTTCATCTGGAGTGCCGTCGTTACCTAGTGGTTTGACTAAACTTGCATTACCAAAAGGAAACACCAAGAATGGAAGTCTTCGTATTTCAAAGTCGACCCTTGTTGACGATATTGACGAGATAGAGATGATCTCAGCTCTTGATAGTTTGAAGTCCACACTTTCTAAAGAGGGATCAAAGAAACGTTCAATGTCAAAGTCTGCATCTGTTAGATCATCAAGACCAAGTTCTCCCGTAAAGAAAGCTTCAGTTAACAATGATGAAGAACCTATGGACCTATCGACAGCATCTTCGTCTAGTGTTCAAGGGCCAGCAGCCGGGCCACCTTCGGATGGATTAATGGAAGTTGCAATATCATTTGATACCACTGGATCCATGTATGGTTGTCTTGAGGAAGTCAAAGCTAAAGTGCAAGATCTTGTTCAACGTTTACAGACAGACATTCCTGGTAAGCATCTGAAGCTCAGAATTTAATTAATTAATTAATTAATAATTAATTAGCTATTAAGAAAGCTTTCAAAATGACATACCAGTCTGCTTCAATTTGGTACTCATTATTTCAAGCTGTGTAAATGGGTACTCTTGTTCCATGTTCAGAAAATAATTTTGATAGCTGAAATGTGTCAGTTTAAAAATATATACATGTATATTCATATCCTTTTTTGTAGGAATTCGTGTTGCCATCATCGCACACGGTGATTACTGCGATGAATCTAACTACATTATAAAATGGATAGACTTTGGCGCCAGTTTACCAGAAATTTGCGACTTTGTTAAGAATGTTGGTCGCACCGGCGGAGGAGACGGCCCAGAATGTTATGAACTTGTTCTGCAAAGGTCACGTGAGGTTTTGTCATGGACAGAGGGTAGCAAACGCATTCTCGTCATGATTAGTGATAACATTCCTCATGAGCCTGGATATACTTATGGCGGGAAAACCTACTACATCAATTGGAGGTTCGAGTGTGCAGCCTTGAAGCAAATGGTTAGTTTCCATTGCGTTTTGTTGAGATTTCTTGTTTTAAAATAATTCTATACTTTCTTATGTCCATGAAAACAGACTGGATCAAACTGAATTGGCGGTTTTCACGTGTTTGTTTTTGTTTTCTGTACTGTCGATAATCTTTCTAATTTTAAACGCTGTATCTCTGCTTTTTTTCTTGTTTTGATTGCATAGATAGATAACTTTAGTTCAAGATGATCCTACTAACTAGTTACCTTAAATTATCAATGAAATGAAATGAAATGAGTTGAAAAACATGTCCGTATTTCAGTCTTTTGTTATTATTACATGCGTAAGAAGCAAATATATTTATAGACATTTGATTGATGAAACCAAAAAATGATGCTTGTACTGTTTAGATGAATCCATATACAGTAATTGCCTTTCATTTATACGTGTTAACACCAAACAGAAATTGATTTTGAAAGGAAATGGGTCCGCTTTATAGGACATAAAAAACGAATACACTGGCGGAATACGTGGTGCAAAGGTGTTTGATAGTTGAATGCTACAAACTCTATCTTTTTAGATCTATTTGTTGGTTAACGCTGATAAAAAATTTTTATTTAACTTCTATTTAGGGCGTGAAGATTTATGGTGTGCAAGCAGGGGGAAGCGCTTCTGCCACATCATTTAATGAAGAGATGGCAAAACTAACTGGAGGAAATCGCTTAAGTTTAAAGAATTTTGGCTGCATATTTGATGTTCTGATGATGATCTGTTACCGTGAGGGAAATCCGGCAATGCTTGCGGTGAGAAGATATTGTTTGTCATTCGAAACTTTTCGGCCCTTTCCGTCAGTCTTCGGATAAGGATACTAGCCGATGGTGTTCCGATTGTATTGTCTGTCTCAATGTTAAGAAATGTACATTTTCGACATTAATTTTGTCTATGATATGACATTAATTTAAATATCTAATCAAAATGATATGAAAATATAATTAAAATCATAATTCTGCTATAATAAAGCAAATGTTGTCTTCTTTATCAAATAGGTTTATGAACAGGAAATAATTGACCGAGGAGAAAGAATGGCAGCGGACATTACGTCATTGAAGAAGACTTTTGGCACACCTGTAACAGGTCTCATGCCCTCACCTTTTATAGCGCCAGCAATGCCACCATGGTTTGGTAAGGTAGCTAAAGGTAAACAACCGAAAGTGGGCACTTTAGGCACAACGTTAACAGGTCACACGCCCCCACCCTTTATAGCGTCAACCCAAGGACTGATACCATGGTTTGGTAAGGTAGCTAATAGTAAACTACCGAAAGGGAGCAAGGTCATAGCTGAGAAAAAGACAAAGAAACAGACGAAAAAGTCATCTAAATCAGTCACAATTCAGAAGGTATTCCTTTCTTTCTCTAGCGATACTGTTCACTATTCAATCAAATTTGTTTGATATGAATTGAGTCATTCTCAATTAAAAAAAAAATCTCTCAGAACTTCAATGTTTTCTTCCAAACAAATACTTATAAGAAAAATATTTTCGGATGATGTACCGATATTTTAGAAATCAAAACTACATGTGATATAGTATGTACAGGAAATTTTGATATAAGATACCATGATATATTCTTATTTTAGAGAGAAAAGCTACTAGATACCTGCATGACTAAGGGTGCTTTGAAACCCATAACTTGGTCCAAGTGGATTAATGGTGTAGAACCCAAGATGCCAACAAACAAGCAGAAATCGAACTTTATTAAGCTCTCAACAAATCAAGGATATGGATTGAAATTAATATTTGATAATGATTTTAAGAAACCAGCCATTTATGAAGTCGCTGTACAGCTACCAGGGTCTCGCAAAAAATATGTTGTTTATTTCCGGATGACAAAAAGGGGGTTCGCTAGGAGTGGTCATTGGTCGACGAATTTGTTGCGACATAACAAAGTTAGACAAGAGGTCAACAATGTCTTGAACCAAGGATGTTCCATTTACATTAGGCGAGGGGTTCCAAAAGCAAAAAAGGTTGACAAGTTTGTAAGCCAAATGAAGGCAGCAAATGATTATATAAGAGATAACTTTGATTATGCATGGAAAAAATACATATGGCGACGAAGTGATGGCGGGTTGTCAAAATTTGGACTAAAACACCGACATGTGAAATCGACACGGAAAGGAAAAGTTTTTATCCTTTCTGATAGCAGTATTTAAATGTTTAACCTACATGTTTAAATATGTAAAACAATATCATTACTCTTACTTTGTAAATGCTTATTTTTGACAAACCGTCTGTGATAATCCATTATTGTTACAATGCATTTTGATAATCCATTATTGTTACAATCCATTTGCTTATTTATTTTAGATAAACCACAACGTACTTGACTAACTACAGAAGATGTGTTTGTTTTTCATTTAAGCTCACCTGCCCACGAAGTCAAGGTGAGTCAAGGTGAGGTTTAGTGATGGGGCTATGTCAGGTGCCAACCGCCTCCGTGGTCGAGGGGTTAGAGTCGATGACTTCTAGTCCACTTACCTCTCTGGCTTTGGTTCGATCCCCGAGAGATGCTTTGGTAGTTTAGCACGGAGGAAGGTAGTCTAGTACTGGGAGTAACCCTCGATGAATGATGGTTAGGAAACTACCCGCCTATATGACTTAAATACTGTTGGGAAAAGGCGTAAAATGAAAGAAACAAGGTCCGGTGTCCGTCGTCGTGCGTCGTCAACAATTGGGTTGTTTACAGTCAAGCAGTCACAGTTTTAATTGTATCATCATCAAACTTTGTCAGAATGTTTGTCTCAATGAAATACAGATCGAGTTCGAATATGGGTCATTTCCGGTCAAAAATAGATCACAGGAGCTAAAAAAAGAAAAGTCTTGTTAACACGTTAGTGGCTGCAGTTTTGGTCCAAATATCCTGAATATTAGTCAGATAGGTTGTTTTGATGATTTCTAAGTCAAGTTTGAAAACGGGTCATTTCCGGTCAAAAACTAGGTCACAGGAGCTAAAAAATAGAAAAACCTTGTGAACACTCTAGTGGCTGCAGTTTTGATCCAAATTTCCTGGAAATTTTTCAGGAAGGTTGTTTTGGTTATTTCTAAGTCAAGTTTGAATATGGGTCATATACTGTCAAAACTAGGTCACAGGAGCTAATAATAGGAAAATCTTGTTAACACTTTGGTGGCTGCAGTTTTGATCCAAATATTCTGGAAATTTGTCAGGAAGGTTGTTTTGGTCATTTCTAGGTTTAAGTTTGAATATGGGTCATCTCCGGTCAAAACTAGGTCACAGGAGCTAAAAATAGAAAAATCTTTTTAACACTGTAGTGGCTGCTGTTTTGATCCAAGTCTCTTGGAAATTTGTCAAGAAAGTTGTTTTGATGATTTCTAGGTCAAGTTTGAATAAGGGTCATCTGGGATCAAAAGCTAGGTCACACTGCCCAAATATGGAAGTACCTTGTTAACACACTAGAGATCACATTTTTGACTCCATTTTCATCAAACTTGGTCATGATGCAGACATTGCTTTGATGTGGTTGATGGGTCTGGGGAGCGATATCGGGCCATCATGGTCCTCTTGTTTGTTGTTTGGGGTCTTCTCTTAAGTTTTCTAATCCATTGTGTCGAGTGATACCATTTTAACAATTAACATGCTTTTATACATGTAATAATTATTATGATAGTTCTTAGCCATTACACTGTTGAACTGAAAGTTATTCTATCCTTTATCACAAGAATAGAGCCATGCCATCGGTGCAAATTGATCAGGCTCTATACTGTTGGGTGACTATTGTCATCTTGATTTACCCAAAATTTATAATCGGCAGTCAAAAAACAGGAAGCTAGGGTAAAATACATGTAGTTAAAAGATACAACCGATGACATATATTAAAAATAAAAATCAATCTTTATTGGAGACCTCTTTACAGTGTTGAGAATAAGTGCTGGCGGCATTCACTTTTGCATATAAAATTGAAGTGAATGAATATCATTCAAAATCTTAAATCATTAGAACCAGAACACTTCAAGAAAAGAACACTTAACACCGACCGGAGAGCTTATCCGGAAATTGACGGAAATAGCCGATATGCTGTTTTTGTGACCAATCAGAATGCCATCCGAGTCCGTACAGACGGGTGTACTAGCATGGATGGATGGGCCTTTACTTTGATCTTTAGGTGTCATTTTTGCGCGTTTTCCAGTAAATTGTCTTTTCAAAGGACCTAAGTTATCCTAAAAGGTATTTCAAATCGGAGAAATGGCCTTCATTAGTTCGAGAAAGGAATGATAAACTTGTTTTTATGCTTCCTGGGAAAATTCACGTTGTTTTAAATTACTTAATAGGAAAGAGAGAAGAATATATATACTGTTCAGTAAGAAAAGATCAAGTTAACAAGTTTTCTTGCATGTTCATGTCTGTTTAAACTATTTGTAAAACTGAATATTTCCTGTTCATGATTGATATTTTAAATGATATTGTTGAAGACAGTAATAACATTTTTCCTATTTTTAGAGAAACACGCCCTATTGATGTGGTAACATATGTGACTTAATCAATACAATGTATAACAATTAATTAGGATTTTTACATTCATGTATTGTAATCAAGTTTCTCCATCAGTCCTGAAGCTACAATATGTCAATCATTTACATTTCACTAATGACTATCCCAACATGGTGATTAAAGGGTATAAGTTGTTATCCTTTGATTTTTTTCTAAGATAAAGTATGCTCAAAAAAATGGCAGGATTTTTTAAGAAAGGACCGAATTAACTTGACTGATTATAGGGAATGTACAGCTTCCCTTAATATGCAAACACAGTTTATACATTCTCTTATTCAAGTTAGACATATTTGCATAAAGCATGTATCAGATTTCAATAAATTTCTGCAATAAAAAGCAGTTTACCGGAGGATGAGTATAGTATATCTTAAAACTTTCATAATGCTATGTTCATAAATTCCGTTGTTTTGTTAAAGGGATTCCACTGAGGTATTTTGACATAACAGGACTGGGAATAATTTTTCGACATAAATGTTCAATTTCATGTAGATCTATGCAAAAAACTTGTGTGGGAAATTTCAGATCATTGGCTCACTCTGTTTTTCCAGAATAATTATTCTTTTTGTAAAAAATGATCCAAAATTGAAAAGCGTTTAGCCTGCTGATGGGAACAGATTTTACCTATGTGACCAGTGCAGACCAAGATCATCATGCACAACCCTGTCCTCTGGCCATGGTCTACTATGTTAATAAGTTAGCACATTTATGTTTTGTAACTTTCTCTATGAATGGTTAATAGTTTTGTCCAGATTAAAAGATGGACTTATCCATTTTGCATGTAAATATATAGTGTGGTAAATGTAAAATAATCCTTTAAAGGGAGGGTCAGGGACTTGATCTTCTTGTATAGACATGGTTCCGCAAGTAAAGTAAGATGGTTTGTCCTTGCTGTCACATTCAATCCAAGATGTTTCTAGCTCCACTTTTTCACTAGTATAAATTCAGAATACCATTTAAACTCATATGTTGTTATTTCTTTTAAGAAAACTCTTAAACTTGCAAATTTGCACTCTTCTAATCCAGAAACCTTTCTGTGCAGTGCAAATATGCAAGTTATTATACCAAACATATTATCCATTCCCAATGACAATAATTTCTAACTAAGTTATAATTTAACTAGTGAATACATTGTATTATTACATGTTAGGTGGCTGCAGCACCCTGGTGGGTTCCTGTTAATGTTCAGATATAAAACACAGATCAGTGAACATATACATTTTATACAAAATTTCAGAGGCATTGCTTTCAATAGTTGTTATATGATGATGATTGTCAAACTGACACATGAAGCATATGGTAAGAAAGTAAGAGCTTTACATCTTGTAATCATCTAAGTTATGCACAATTGTGTTATTGCTTTATAGAAAATATCTTAGTTATGCGCAATTCCATTATTGCTGTAGTGTTGTAAATTAGTTAAATCATTAAACAATGATTAGCTTTGTGAAAGAGCCAATTCAGAGGTAATCAAAATTGAGGAAAATCTATTAGTATAAGCATACTTGTAATTAATTAATTGTGTGTGTCCATGCTGTCCTAAGTAAACTCAAAATAGCTAGCACCTGGTTATTTGTATAAAAAATGAAAATACAGAAGATAATTTCAATAATTTCTAATCAATGCAAATTTGATATGCAAGTTCACTTATATGAAATTTTAACACTATGTTTTAGGATGGATCATCCAGTTTTACATGTATCATGGAATGATTCTGTGGCGTTCTGTGAATGGGCGGGCAAACGTTTACCAACAGAGGCTGAGTGGGAATATGCTTGTAAAGGTGGCCTTGATAACAGGTGATTTGGATCTTTACTTCTTTTGCACGTATTACAGTACTGAGCTATCTGGCTGCTTACAAATTTTATCGTAAATTATTTCCTGATGCCTTTTATAAATAGTAATTCCTTATTTACAACTGTTTAATTGAACCACTGAAATCCTGTGCAGGGCAGTGAAAATATGAACTGTTGACTGATCAACATTTTTAACTGTTTCACCTCAAACATTTGGTACTTCTGTTACTGCCTTGCGCCACTATTCAGTAATCGAACATCGCTCAGCCAATGTGCAGTACTGTTTTAAGAAAAATCAGATGGTTGTAGGATTCAGTTGTAAAATTTCTTAGTGGTATTGTATTGGTACTGTGCAAAGTACAGTTAACTGTTAAAACAGTTGTAAAAAATGTTATAAAATAGTATGTTGTTGCAGTATATACAATGTATTATAGTTTGTTTGCAAAGAATTAAGTAATAAAAAAACAGTTATTCATTGGTGTTTGTGGAACAGTCAAACCTTTTGTCCCTCGGTTTCAGGGTTGACATTTTGAACAGTTGCCCTTGGTCTTTGGCCTCTGGCAACAGTTCCAAATGTCATCCCTGATACATGTGGCCAAAAGTTTTGACTGTTCAATGATATTAAGATGATATTTTTGCAACCTGTGTAAAGAATGACACATTTAATTAGTTGTTGATAAGATAGCACATAAATTTGAGAGAAAAAAAATCAGCAATGGACCTATCCAAATGAAAGTTAGGTGGATTCATTATACATATATAGCAGGGTGAAATATGAATGTTATATATCTGTCTTTGACAGATTATATTCATGGGGAAACGCAGAGCAACCTAAATGTGTACATTGGATGAATATTTGGCATGGTGAATTTCCTAAAACAAACACAGAAGATGACGGATATGGGGCCACTGCACCAGTATGATTTAACACTGCTATCCTTTGATAAAACTTTGTTTTTTACACATTTAAAATCCTATTAAGATGAAGTATATATGACTGTAAGAAAAGTCAATTGTTATATGAGAGTTATCGCCCTTGTTTTTACTTTGCCTTTAAAAAAATTTGTAATCAGAAATGTATTACTTTTCTTGACAAATTTTTCGTTTTACATTTTAAGCATAACAATTTTAGAATTTATGGAACAAAATGGGTTTTATACTGTTTTATTGTAAGAGTTATTTTTTTCTTTAAAAGGTAACAGAGTTTCCTGAACAAAATAAATTTGGATTAAAGAATATGATTGGAAATGCATGGGAGTGGACACAAGATTGGTGGGAAGTTAAACACACAGACACACCGAAAACAAATCCTGTATGTGTATAGTATAGTATAACAGGCTTTCTAGTGATCATTAGAATATTACAGAATAAATAAGTTTTCTGTTGTTTTTTTTTTGTTTTTATTTTATTAATTAAAACTACATGAGTATGAAATGTTTAGATGAGCTGGAAATAGAACATCAATTCTTGCTTATCAGACACATATGCTAGAAATTTCATCTGGCATGTGAGGTGCTAGATCATTCATTAATGATCATAGTAATGGTAACTATGATTATAGTACTGGTATCCATGATATTAGTACTGGTGTATTTATGAATGTCAGAAAACAAGAAGCATCTTTTGAAAAGATACAGACTTTGGAATGTTGTTTTGTTTCGTCACAGGGTATTTTCTGGGTGTTTTCTTAGTGCAGAAATATTATAAAATCATAAATGCTTAGTAATAACCCAGCATATAGATTTGACTGTCTTCTGTTTGCAAAGTTATTGTTTGAACATTTTTTCTGACCTGGGATTAGCCTTGTAGCTTCATTGTGATGAAACCTTAAATTTTATTTGGACACTACTTGAGTCTGCCTCCTGGAAGTAGTATGGGTGTCATATGAACATGAACATGGTTGTTACCCAGTAAAGCCCAAACTCATTTGCCCTTTGATGAGAGGCAAATATGTCAGAACAATGCCGTAACTCCCCTTACCTTCCTAAATATCATAAATGGACTTGTCCATCTCTCAACCTGGACAAAACCATTCATCATCTTTAGGGAACATTTCATAATATGAACTGAAGGAATAGGGAACAATGTAGACTGTTATCAGATGGCACCAACCTGACAAAAGTGAGGGCTTATCTTGGTCTGCATGGGTCGCATGGGTAGAATCTCTTTTTTGCCAGCAAGCTATAGGTTAATATAAAAAATGGAACAGTCAGTTCAACAACATTTCTCACATTCTAAACCAGAATATCTAATCTATAAAACTATGATGTATCTACAGATTGAGATCATGAGCTATTTAATTTCAGTACTTTTATAAATAAAGATGTTGTTTTTCTTATCTTTCTCAGGTTAACAACATTCTAACTTTTATTTTGTTTACAGAAAGGACCTTCAAAAGGAACAGATAAAGTCAAGAAAGGTGGCTCTTTTATGTGTCACAAGGTAATGATCACTTTATATTGCCTTTAAAGATGTTTCTCTATACATGTGTGTGAGACTGTGTGTGTGTTTTATCATATTTTTCAACATCATGATTTTTTTTTTCAACATCATGATTAATGTTTTTTATAAAAGAAATACATTGATGAAATGTATCAAGAAAGAAAAGCATTTCTGTTTAAAAAATATAAAACACCCTAAAATTTTGATAATAAGCTTGTCTTGAAACTAGCCTGTCTTGAAAATAAGCCTCCATTTTCCTACACTCAAAATTAACTTGAGCCGGTCTTATGGTTTTGAAATTCAACAGATTATCAGAAAGATGCAGATACACTTTATGTAAGAATCTAAAGTCTCTAAAATACATTTTATAGAAGTAGACTTTTAAAACCTTGCAAATAAGTCGTTCTTTAATATAAGTCACAAGTCTGCTACCAAAAGTTAGAATAAGCTGCGCCTTATAACACATTTTTAGGGCTACCGGTATAATAAAAAAATATTGGTATATTTTATTAACCTGCATACATGCAGAATTTATTAAATTTTATTACATATAGTTGTTATTTTCAGTCATATTGCTACAGGTACAGATGTGATGCTAGAAGTCAGAATACAGTAGATAGCTCCGCCCATAATCTCGGCTTTAGATGTGCTAGCGATAATCTACCAGATTATTTACAACATTAAATATCATTTCCATGTATCATGTCCTTTGAAAAATTTTCCATGGAGCATATAAATAGTTACACATTTGTCTTCCATCTCATCTTTCTATTTAATTTTTTTCCCATTTTTCATTGCATCATTATTCATTGACTGAAATGACAGATTTTTAATGTGAAGGTCATTCTCATTAACCTTTTGGTGGGGATATTAGGTCAAGGTCAGTGAGGCTTAAAACAGATTTTCTTCTTTTCCTCAATTTAGCTAAAAATAGATTTTCTACTTTTCCTCACTGAAGATAAAAACAGATTTTCTACTTTTCCTCACTTAAGTTAAAAATAGATTTTCTACTTTTCCTCACTTAAGTTAAAAAAATATTTTTTTTCTCATCTTTCCTCAAAGTGAAGGAATGATTTTAGCTCTGTCAAAGCAACAGGTGGGATTTAATGCATTTAATGGTCTTGAAGAAAATGTCTGTTTTTACACATTTCTACATTTCATCTTTATTGTTGATCATTACTTTCATAGATTTTTTTTTTAAATGTGCAATGTTTTTGTTATAAATGTAATATATCAATTGATATCACAATAGAAATCCTTATAAGATGATGTACTGTGATATAATGTTACTTTATAATTATATTTGAATTTCATGTACAGGTATAATCTATTTTAAATTAGGAGATAATTGATAAAGGCAGAATCTTTATTTTGAATATGCATTATTTGTAGAAACCTATATAACATATAGTGCAGTGTTATTTGGAAATTGAAGTTTTTTGGGGGGATTAAAATTTGTAACAACAGTTTCTTTGGGCTGGTAGTTTCTCTCCAAAGCGTTCACCTTTCTCTGATGCTGTGAAATATTTTAAGCAAGGCTTTTTGAAGAACAGGGAGAGCTATTGAACTCACCCTAATGTTGGCGTTGCCGTTATGCTTTGGTACACAATTTGCGTGCAAGTTGATTTCTTTAAAATCACTGAAGGGAATAGCTTGAAATTTCATACACTTGTTCTCTGGGATTCTTTAATGTGATGGACACATGCCCCATAACTCTTGAGTTACCTTTTTAAAGAGTTATGCCCCATTTCTTACTGTCAAGCACTGAGAGTAGTTGAGCACCCTGTCTTACTGACAGCTCTTGTATTACATATTTCTGAGCCCTCAACCTGCCAAAAAATTTTAATGGACTTGTCCAGCTTCAGTATGTGGAACTGTCTTTTATCAATTTTGGGAATATCGATTTGATGTAACAGGAAATCTTGGGGAGGGCTGCTGTAACGTTGAAGAGCCTGGTTTATACACATGTCACTTTATGATAATATATCTGAAGTTGTTTTTTTTTAAATCATGTAAATTAATAAGTTTGCTGTCTTTTTTGACTGATTTCAGGAATGTGTTGGGTTTGTTACAAAAAAATAAACATTTGTAGAAATTTTGCATTTCTTACTAGTGTAAATTTGTGTTTTTGATGCTTTTTTATTTTGTTTTTTGTTGTTTTTTTTTATGAAACCAAACTAACTATTATGAAAAACTTGGGTATTAGATTATGGGGTGTTAACCGCCTCCGTGGTCGAGGGGTTAGAGTCGATGACTTCTAATATAGTTACCTCTCTGGCGTGGGTTCAATCCCCGGGAGATGCTTTGGTCGTTTAGCGCGGAGGAAGGTAGTCTAGTACTGGTTTAACTCTCCAGGAACGATAGTTAGGAAACTACCCGCCTATATGACTGAAATACTGTTGGGAAAAGACGTTAAATGAAACAAACAAACAAACAAACAGATTATGGGGTGGGAGGAATGAACGATTTGTAGGAAAATATCTTTGTAGTTTTCTGTGTGGTAACTATATTTGTAAATATGAACAAATTGGTTGAGATCATATATCAGGTATCATTTCATGTTCGTTACAGTCACTGCAATAAAATTATTTGTAGGTTATAATTATTTTGACATTTATTGTGTGGCAAAAATTAAAATTTATATTTGGGGAAAAAGATATTAATTTTGAGTCCATTGTCTTCAGATAGTGCATTAATTTTTCAGTCTATTGTTATATGATATTGCATGGTACAAGTTCAAATGTACAGTAATATAATTATGAAGTCCATCTTGTACCTTCATGAAGTCCAATGACACTGTGCACAGCTTAATTTTAGTATTGCTATGTGTGAAAGTTTTCAGGAGTGTCCCTGATTTTAAGATTTTTTTCAACTTTTAAAAACCATATTTTTTCCAAATAAATCTATAAATAAAATTTTCATGATTTCAGCTTGAATGTCAGTAATGAAATCTCCTACTTTAAAACTAAGTTGTTTTATATTCAAAATAGGACATATCTATAACATAAAATACAGTAGGGTTAACATGTATGTAAGTTTTTATTTATAATACTGTTTGTAACGTCATTTTAAATCAGATAATCTTGATGTATATATAATCTATATACGTGGCTGCTGTCAATTTATGAAGTAATTTCAGTATTTTCTGACTAGCATTGGAAGTTTGTATTATTATAAATTTGTAATAAAGATTCTTGACAGGTTATATGGCTGTATATGAATGGTTATTTTTGCAGTATAAACCTTGCGTAACCACTTCGGTTAAATATACTAACAAACATTTACATAGGGCCATATAACCTGTCAAAAAAAAAGTTTTATTATTAATGATATTTGTTGATCTGACAAATTGTCATATATTCACCTTTGTCAAATAATGTTTGTTCTCTAGTCTTGTGTTGTTGGTTACCTCTACACAATCATGTATCCATGTACTATACATGTAATAAAGTAATGATTGTGTTGTAGTGATCTTGAACATATATTTATCCATATATCAGCTTACCTACTATCTATATGATATAAATATTTTTCTGCCTATTTATATGAATAATGGAATAACAACATGACAAAAAATAAATATAGTAACAACACTGTTTCTGTAACATATTTGTATATTTTTGCAAGTTTGAGATACAATCTATGGATATTTTACACGATATAGAATCATCTTTGCTTGTTTTCGATTCTTTTAAAAAAAAAAATTATTTTTTTGGGGGGAGGGGGGCATGGGGGGGGGGGGAGATTAGCCCAACCTACTACATAGTACCACCTTAGAGAATTATCCCAACTACAGCACAAATATATATTATACGGGATCTTTGCACCTTTGTTTTATTTTAAAGATAACAGATAACTTACCGTATCACATCATTGAACATTTTCTGTGTTTATTTGTTGTTTTATTTTGAACCTGTTCATTCAATAGTTACAGCAGAATTTTGTAATTTGTTCATCATATATGAAACTTGATGTTGGTCATAAAACATGTTGTTTGTAAAAATAAATAGAGAAATTTATGTTAAGTCATAGACTGTAAGTAAAGATACCAAAAAAATAGTGTCTGAAATGTGGGCACCTTGAATATTCCTGGAAAGGTACCATATGACCTTTGCAGTGTGACTTGAAATGCAAGAAGAAGATTTAAGATTTTGCACTCATTTTCTAGCCTCCAGATGTTCTACCCACTTTAAAATTTTATTTCAACTTTTTTTATGTCAGCAATAATAACGTAACCAAAATAGGGAAAAAGCCGAGTTTTATGGACAGAATTTTTTTCTATCACATGTTAATATTTTTTTTCTGTAAAACAGAATGATTTTTTTAACTTCATTGCTTTGTATAGATTATCAAACTGATGTCAATTATACTCAGTGCTTGTACCAAATTGTTAAATCATTTTTGTACAATACCAAAAAAAAATGTAATTAGCTTTATTTCACTCCAAGACTGTCAACATTACTACATGTATAGTGGAATTAGGAATTACATGTACTTGCATACTCCATAACTTCATCATGTATTGTTACTTTAGAATTAAGATATATGTATATCAATAGCCTTTTTATTTTTTCTAGGGTAGATGACTAAATTTTTGTTATTGAGAAACTTTTTTCATAGGGTATTATATTATGGACTTTTTTTAAGGAATATTGTGCTTCCACATATTATGGTATATGCATATACATTTACATGCATATACATGTACATGAAATGCTATTCTTAACAATAAATTGCTTGAAGTAGTCGTTAAGAAACTTTGCTGAGTGTTGTATTTGATTCAACAGTAAAAAAATGTAAGGCTGACCTAGTCGGTATGCATTTGAGCCGTGTCACGACAAAACCAACATAATGGGTTTGCAACCAGCATGGATACAGACCAGCCTGCGCATCCGCGCAGTCTGATCAGGATCCATGTTGTTCGCTATTAGTTTCTCGACTTATAAAAGGGTTGGTAAGCGAACAGCATGGATCCTGATCAGACTGCGCGGATGCGCAGGCTGGTCTGGATCCATGCTGGTCGCAAACCCATTATGTTGGTTTTGTTGTGACACGGCTCATTTATATTATTGTGTATAATTGAACCTTTCAACAAGCTAGTGCTTATTGGGTTTTATTCACACACGCGCGCACACACACGCACGCACACAAAGCACGCACATACACACAACTTTCAAGTGTACATTATTAAACAAGTTGTCATAGACCAATTAATAGAAAGTTGATTTACAAGCTCTGAAATATAGGCTTTACAAATTTTTTACGTTAGTACAATGCAAAATGCAGACTTATATTCTACATGTCTCTCAGAAATTGCGTGTTCATACCGACAGGCAAGTTGAATTTATGTTAAACAGAATAGGAAAGCCTTCCGATATTTCACAATCATGACGGGATGCACCGAAAATGCACGCATTCAATATCGAGTTAAAATACTGCTTGGTCACAACCGGTCAGAAAATAAAATATATTGAGGAAACTTGTCCTTTTGCAAATGTAAAAAAATAAATACAAGAACAAGAAAAACTGCGTTTGTACCTTAATCATATTTCATTTTGAGGTAATTGTACGTGTTTAAAAAGGGAGTCGGGTCTTCCCCGTTTAATATTTTAAAATTTACATTACAGAGTTTAAAACGAAGAGAGATTAAAAAGGCTTTTCAATCAAGCTTCCTACTCAATTATGTACCTTATTATGTAATGTATAGATTATAAATAAATGTTGTTTAAACTAAAATGTACATAATAATTATACAATTGTATTTATTTCAATGTAAAAATCAACAATAGAAATGAATAGAAAAAGGAACATTTCCTCTTAACTAAATATTTGACCTGATATTTATAATATACATGTTTAACAATACTCATTAGCATTCTGATTTTAATAATACACCCGTCTCTATAAATACGGCAATACATATGTCCTAATTGCGTACTTAGTAAATTTGACGCAAGCTAGCGAAAAAAAAAATCATTCAGCTTATTATTGATCGACTTGGCTCAAGTTTAATAAAATTTCAAACAAACACATGTATAAAAGGCTTTTACAAACTTTATTCTGCAGTCTTTGAAATAGATTTGAAATACCGGTATTCATAATCATAATATATATACAGAATGTCTTATCTGCGCATGTCACAGTAAAAATAACTATTATTGACAGATAATTGTAAAAACATCGTATCTCAAGAGTTTTTTATGTAGAGATAGTGGTGTTTACTATACTGAAGTACGTCATTTCTAAAAATAACCATACAGATATATAGTAATATACAAGTCGGGACTTGAATTACTACAAGGTCGATACACTATATATATAAACCTCGAGGTAGGCGTTTTCATTTATTAACTGACAGTGTGCGATATATCGACCTTCGTATATTATATCTGTATATTGGATAAGCTTGCAAGTCAGTAACTTAAATTTAAATCAAAGTTTAATCATAGTATACGTAATATGTTGTTGTTTTTTTTACAGTTGCACAATAACATACATGTACTAATTATTTACTAGTAATTAACACCTGTGGTTATTTCTAATTTTCTACGCATGCGTCTACGTAGATACCTGGGTCAAACAAAGTACATCTATCAATAGAACTAAAATTATATAAAGAAATGTAAATTCGTTCATTCTAGACATTTGCAGTAAATATTTTTTAAACGCATTCCAATATAATATAACATAAAGCAGGGTTTTGAGTAACCTTGTATAAAGTCACAAAATTATAATGACTATTGGAAAAAATATTGATCTTTATACCTTAACTATACAATAAATCGATCATCTTGTTAATTCTTTATTGACATTCAGTATGCCGAAAAGAAAAGCCTCGTTTGCATTTCCCTACGAACGCCCAAGTAAGATTACAAAGAGGACAAGCAGCACAACTGTGTCCAGGACATTAAGCAGTATCTCAAAGATGCCGTCTGTAGTTAAACCACCACTTAGAATGCCCAAATTTCCATCTCTTCGAGCAAGCAAGCCTGGAGAGGGTATTGAGGTTGGTATGATAATGGCTGGCTACGATTGAACATTGATTTCTTGTCATTTCCGTTTCTTTCTTAAACAGTTTAGATATATTTAAATAAGAGTATATATATAACATGATTAAAGATTTCTATTAAGCTTTATTCGATTTCCACTCGGTTTTAACTTTTATTCATACTTTTTAATGTGTTTTTATTAAAATTGCTGGTCTGTTAATTTGCCAGGTGTCAGCATCAGCTCCTTTACCAGCTGCTGTAGGATCTCCAACACCACCAGCTCTACGACGTGCCTCAACACTGACTCTAGAAGATGATGACAAAGTTGACTCTACTAAAGCTTCATTAACTAAAACAAAGTCGTCTGCTTCTAAACCATCATCACTTTCTAAGAAATCTAGCAGTTTTGTTGAGGAGGGTGCACTTGTTTAACAAAAATTAATAGGACTTAAATAGGGTCAATCTTGGGAAACCTCTTTTAAGTCAAAAACCCAATCATTAACAAAAATCTCCCAGCAAGTCTAAAAATTCATTGTCAAGGAATCATCCAGCTAATGGGAGCTATTTGGAGCGCCCTCGTTACCTAGTGGTTTTGAACTAAATTTGCATTACCCAAAAAGGAAACACCCAAGAATGGAAGTCTTCGTATTTTCAAAGGTCGAACCCCTTGTTGACGATATTGAACGAGATAGAGGATGTATTCAGTCTTTGATAGTTTGAGGAGTTTCACACTTTCTAAAAAGGATTTCAAAGAAACGCTTCAATGTCAAAAGTCTGCATTGGGGTTAGAATCATTCAAGACCAAGGTCGTTCGGGCCGTAAAGGAAAGCTTCAAGGGGTTTAACAAGGTGATGAAGAACCTATGGACCTATCAAAGCATCTTGTTTAGTGTTTTAAGGGCCAGGGAGCCCCGGGGGACCTTCGGATGGATTAATGGAAAGTTCAATATATTTGATTTCCAGGGTCCATGTATTTGGGTTTTCTTTAGGAAGTCAAAGCTAAAAATCAAGATTTGTTTAAAGTTTTTCAGACAGGGCATTTTGGGGAAGCATCTGAAGCTCAGAAATTTTTTTTTAATTTAAATTTAAATTTAAAATAATTTTTGCCTTAAGAAAGGGTTTCAAAAAGACATTTAAAAAAATCTGCTTCAAATTTTTTTCTTTTATTATTTAACTGTGTAAATGGGGGGATTTTTTCCCAATTTTTCAAAAAAATTTTGATTGCTGAAATTTTTCAGTTTAAAAAATTTTACCCTTGGGGGGTTTTTCATTTTCCTTTTTTGTTTGGAAAATTGTGTTGCCCCCAAACGCAAAACGGGGATTATGCATGAATCTAACTAATTATTAAAAAAGGATAGACTTTTGGGGGGCCCTTTCCAGAAATTTGCGAAATTTTTAAGAAAAGGTTTGGGTCGCACCGGCGGAGGGCGGCCCAGGGAAAGTTATGAACTTGTTCTGCAAAAGGGACGTGAGTTTTTTCATGGACAGAGGGGAGCAAAGCATTCTGTCATAAATTTGTGAAACAAAATTCCCCCATGAGCCTGGGGGTATACTTATTTGGGGGGAAAAACCCACTACTTTAAATTTGGGGGGCGAAGTGTGCGATTGAAGGAATTTGGGTTTTGTTTTCCTTGCCCTTTTTTTTAAAAATTTTTTTGTTTTGAGAAAAATTTTATACTTTCTTATTTCCCTTTAAAAACCCGACTGGGTAAAAATGACTTGGGGTTTTATGTGTTTGTTTTGTTGAGGATCTTTCTATTTTTGAATGCTGTATCACTGCTCTTCTTTTTTCCCTAGTTTTTAATGCATAGATAGATGACTTTAGTTCAAGATTATCCTACTAACTAGTTGCCTTATATTTTCAATGAAATGAGTTGAAACACATGTCCGTATTTCAGTATTTTGTTATTATTACATGCATAAGAAGCAATATCTTTATAGACATTTGAATGATGAAACCAAAAATGATGCTTGTGAACTGTTTAGATGAATCCTTATACAGTAATTGCCTTTTCATTTATACGTGTTAACGGATTTTGAAGGATTTTGAAGGAAAATTGGTCCGCCTTAATTTGAGTTTTACACATATATAAGATTAATTAAAAACGAATTCACTGGTGGAACACGTGATACAAATGTGTTTGATAGTTGAATGATACAAACTCTACCATTTGAGATCTATTTTCTGTTGATGTCAACGACGATAATTCTGCTATGACCACTTCTATTAGGCTCCACCGTGAAAATTTATGCGTGGCTCTCAAGAAGTGGGGGTCTAGATGCAACATTCATTTTAATGAAGCGCATAGCAAACTACTCGGTGAAATCGCTAAAGTTGAAAGAATTTTGCCGATATTTCGTATCGATGATGATCTCGTTTACTTGAGGCAATCCAGAATGCTTGCTGGTGAGAAAGAATCTTTATTTTCAATGTAAAAGAAGTGCTTTCCATTCATTTGTCCTGATATTACATCTAGTAAAAAATAATGATTAATATATTATCAATGATTATGAAAAAATAATTAAATCATCTAGTCTGCATATAAAGCAAATTGTGTCTTCTTTATCAAAAGTTAGACAGAAAGAAATTGACTGACGGGAGAAAGAATTGGCAGCGGACATTACGTCATTGAAAGACTTTTGGCACACCTGTAACAGGTCTCATGCCCCCACCCTTTATAGCGCCAACACCAGGACTGCCACTCGGTTGGTAAAGTAGCTAAAGGTAAACTACGAAAGGGGCACTTGCTCAACCCAAGAAGGTGGTGGCGAAGAAGACAACAAAAACAGGGAAAGTGAGCACGGTCATAGCTGAGAAAAAGACAAAGAAACAGACGAAAAAGTCATCTAAATCAGTCACAATTCAGAAGGTATTCCTTTTTTCTCAACGATATACTGTTCACTATTTAATCAAAATTGTGTTTTATAAGGAATTGAGTCATTCTCATAGGTAACTTTGAATTGAAAAAAATCTTTTCTCAGAACTTAAATGTTTTTTTTTCAATAAATACCTATAAGAAAAAGATTTAACATGATGTACGATATGTTAGACAATCATATACATACCTGTGGATTATAGTATCTTACACGTAATTAGTCATAATTTTGATATAAGATACCATAGATATATCTTATTTCAGAGAGAAAAGCTCCAACACCTTGCATGACTAAGGGGCTTTGAAAACCATTAACTTGTCCAAGTGGATTAATCGTTGTAAACCCAAGATGCCAACAAACAAGCAGAAATCGAACTTTATAAGCTCTCAACAAATCAAGGATATGGATTAGAAATTAATATTTGATAATGATTTTAAGAAACAGCCATTATGAAGCTCGCTTGTACAGCTACCCAGGGTTCTCGCAAAAAATATGTTGTTTATTCCGTGATGACAAAAAGGGGGTTCGCTAGGACTGCGTCATTGCTCGACGAATTTGCTTGCGACATACACAAAGTTAGACAACCGAGCTCAACAATGTCTTGAACCACAGATGTTCCATCTTACATTAGGCGACGGCGGTTCCAAAAGCAAAAAAGCAGTTGACAAGTTTGTAAGCCAAATGAATCAAGCCAAATGCCATTATATAAGAGATAACTTTTTTACTGCATGGAAAAATACATATGGCGACGAAGTGACTGGCGCAGTTGCTCAAATCTCTGGCACTAAAACACCGACATGTGAAATCGACACGGAAAGGAAAAAGTTTTTATCCTTTCTGATAGCTAGTATTAAATGTTTAACCTACATGTTTAAATATGTAAAACAATATTCATTACTCTTACTTTGCTAAATGCTATTTTTCTGACAAACCGTCATGTGATATCCATTATTGTTACAATGCCATTTGCAATAATTCCATTATAGTTACAATCCATTTAGCTTATTTATTTAAAGATAAAAAACACCACAACGTACTTGACTAATTGCAGAAGATGTGGTTGTTTTTCATTTTTTAGCTCACTTGCACCACGAGTTTCAGTGAGGTAATTGATGGGCCATTCCTAGTTAACCGCTCCGTCGTCGAGCGTTTAGAGCCGATACTTCTAATTCAGACCTACCTTGCGCGTGTTAATCCCTGGAGATATGCTCTCGTATTAAGACGTGCGAGAATAGTAGTCTGGTACTGGTGTATCTCTCGGCTGGGCAACTTTCGACCATATACTGACATATCTGTTGGAAAAGGCGTAAATGAAACAAAACCAATGTTGTGTCTCTCGTCTCGTAAAACAATTGGTTGGTAACAGATCAAGCCAGTCACATTTGATTGGATATTCATCATCAAACATGTCAGAATGTGTCAAACATGGATTCGAGTTCGAACATGCTAATTTCATTAAAAAACTAGTCACAGGAGCTAAAAAAGAAAAATCTTTAACACTCTAGTGGCATGCAGCTTTGATCAAATATCCGATATTGTTCAGAAAGTTGTTTGATGATTCTAGCGTCAAAATTTTAAAATGGCATATCAGGTCAAAAAACTAGCTCACATCGAGCTCAAAATAGAAAAACCTGTTACATTGTAGTAGCCTGCAGTTTTGATTCCAAATTATTACTGGAAATGTCAGAAAAGTTGTTTTGGTGAATTCTAGTCAGGTCAGATGGGTTCGCCCGGCTCAAAAATTCTAGCACAGCGCAAAAAATAGAAAAGCTTGTAACCTCTATAGATGCCGTTTGCATCCAAGATTCCTAGAAATTTTCCGCACAGTCTGTTTTATCACTTCTAGTCAAGATTGAATGATATCTCGTCAAAACGTATCGTCACAGTACCTAATAGAATAGAACAATCTTTTAACACTAGTGCTGCCGTTCTTATCAAATATTCTTCGAAATTTGTCAAGAATGGTTTCTTTCATATTTAATATAGTCACTCGCGGGCCAAACTAGGTCCATTATATTATATAATACTATATCCGAATATCGGATATTGTCATGAAATGATTTGTTTGATCATTCCTAGGTCAAGTTTGAATATGGTCACTCGGGGTCAAAGCTAGGGCACGCTGCCCATATGAAAAACCTGTTAACACACTAGAGTCACATTTTTGACTCCAGTTCACAACTTGTCAGTTCAACATGCCTTTGATGAGTTGATGGTCTCGGAAGCGATATCGCGCCATTCATGTTCCTCTGTGTGTTTTTGGTCTTCTCTTAGTTCAATCCATGGTCGAGTGATACCATTTAACACATTAACTGCTTCGTACATTGTAATAATTTTATGCATAGATTCTTAGCCATCTACACTGTTGAACTAGCAAATTATTCATCCATTATATCACAACAAATAGGCCATAGCATCGGGAATTGATCAGGCTCTTATACGTCTGTGCACTATTGCATCTTATCTTACCCAAAATTATAATCGCCAGTCAAAAACAGACTAGTGTAACAAGAGTTAAAAGATACAACGAACATTTATAAAAATAAAATCTAATCT